TTAGTACAAAATTTCCTTCCTAAACTCTAGTTTTTCACTAAAAATTGCTTTAAAAATACTGTACCAAAGCAGCAATCTCTATTACTTTTCATGTGCTAATCTGTATCATTAGTAACATCCCAGTTCCCACATTAGTGTTCACATCACTGATTGTGAACAGATCAACTAGTAGCAACTTGAGAGATACAACTATAATTATGCACTTACAAAAGCACATAAAGAGTTTATAAATATTCTTTCCCCAGCACAATTACACTCAAAATAACAAACATCTGTGTTTCTTGCCTTTTTGTGACAGACTGAAAAATATCCTGTCCAAGACACAGGAGTTCCTAAAGGTAACTATTGTGAATTCTCTCTATTCAGATATCATTGGTCTCTGTTGCTATCTGTAATAAAACCAGTGGTGTTACCCGACAGATTGAAATACTCATACTTTTTGCTAGATACTTATATTTAAATGTAATGCCCTTTTTATTTTTAAGGTCAATTTCATATGTGTATATCTAACTTGCGAAATTTCCTTCCCAAGTTTAATTTTGGTCTAAAAGTCACTCTAAAACTATCATCAGAAGACCTGGTTTCTCAATCTGAAAGGAAAATACAGTGGTGCCATTGATAGACAGGGTTCAGATGAGAGATGGTAGGGACATCATAATGCTAGATGGTGACTTTGAAGGGACTACCAGTGTCTTCATGTTGTTAGAAATACTATCAAGGAATACCTTTTCAGGTCTTTTTTCTCTGACAGCATTCCCAGCCTCATAACCAGTCAACTCTTTGTGCCATCTTTTACTTTGAGCAGGTGTTAATGCCATCTACTGGGGAACCTACTGTTAGGTCCTCTCTGCACAAGTTCCTGCCTATCCTTGCTGAAAATTGAGTGAGGGAGTGCAGGTTCTGAAGAAAAATACATGGATTACACAGTGTGACTATCCTCCTTATGTTTCCTTGATGTGTGGGGTGGGTTTTTTGTTGACATCCCAGGCTTTGCCATTGACTTTTGTCCCAGGAATGCACTGGCAGGGGCTTGGTTGAGGAGCACTCTGCAGGTAGTGTGTTCTCCATCCAGTGTTGCACAGCAGGTCTGCAGTGGGACAGACACAGGAAAACAGGCTTGTCACAATGGAGGAGTAGGAACAGTATACCACTGGGGATAAAGAAAAGTTGGAGGTTATTCTGGGGCTTGAGAAAGCCAGACAGAGGAAATGAGCACTCTTCAGAAGTGCTGCTCAGCGGGGAAGGATCATGTGGGATGAAGACTACTTGAAGTCATAAATTAGTTTCTGTTTATTTGCAGGCAGGTGGTTTGGTTCTTCAAAATTGTTTATTAGCACCAAAGTAATTACACTGGAACATTCTTTTCCATGTCCTGTTTTTTATTTCACCTGTGACATTAGATCCTCCTCAAAATTAATTAGATAAATTCTTGAATTTCAAATTTGCCAGGGTTGTTTGAAATCCAAAATTGCATATTCTAAATGCACCTAATTTAAAAAGGAAAGCTAAGACATAAGTAGAAAGGTCAGCACTTTCTGTAAAAAGGAAGTGCACTTGGTTTATATTTAATTTTCATTTTTAGTTCCTCTTACTAAATGTAAGAAGATATAATTACTAATACAGCTTGACATTTCCCCTTTGAAGCTGAATGTGATGCAAATACCTCTTAGTATTCTGTTAATTTCTGTGAATTTAATTTTTTCTCTGAGAATGGCTTTTTATAGTTACCTCCATAAAAAATACAAACTTAGAAGTATAAGTCTGTCAACTAAAAATTGTAACAGATGTGCTGGTCTGATTCTGTGTAACACACAGTTATGTTTGTTTCAGATTTAATGTTTGAACAGACATTGGTGAGAGGGGCTGACTTGATAAATTGGATAATGACTGTTGCTTTTAGTGGTCAATTAATTAGTGGGCCATTTTGGAGCCATAACCTATTAGTTCTTGGCACCCTTTACTAGTTATGAAATAAAATGGAGTTGAGGGAACTTTTTGTCTTGAGGAAGTTGCATTAGTATTTATCATGATTTGATAATAATTCTATTTCTACTGAAATACAGAACAAATTTCACACATATTATTTCCACAGTTTTGATGCTCATACTCTGCATTTTGAGACAGACTTTGTTTTGTTTTGGGTTTTTTTGTTGTTGTCTCTGGACCTACAGTCATAAAGAATAATGATGATCCTCTACTAAACATTGACATTACTGGGGATGAAACATCTTTCAACAGTCTTACAGAACCAGAAAAAGATGAGAATAATGATTTTTCATTTTCTTTTTTCTTGCAAGTCTAAGGATGAATTCTTTGATTCAGATCAGTTTCTTGAGTTAAGAAAATATTGCTTTTTTCTGTTATGTGATTATTCATAAAGATAACAAAGGTTTCTCAATGAGATCTTGCCACTAAGCAAACAACAAATAGTAACATACCAGTGCTACAAATGCAGTCACCCCCATGGAGTGTTCTTGTGTGTAAAAACATGTAGAATATAACTCTTTTTAAGCCTGTGTTAATGGTTGGTCAGCACCTGACTCAGGGGAATTATGCAAATAGTTTGATTAGGACGACCTTACTAATCCTACAGAGTGAAATTTGTCCTTTTGCACAAGGTTCACAAAGGGTTTATGTATCCTTTGTATCCCATTTTGAGGGCTGAAGTGATGCTTGAAAGATTAATAGAGTTTGTGCTGTACTAGGGAATGCTGTGCTTTTCAGTGGACTCCCAGAGCTGTTGATAAACACACTTTGAAATGGATTATTTCAGTGCTTCAGGAAATTCCTGTGTAGCAGAAATCAGTAGGACTAGTCCAGCTCACAAAGGGGCAGAATAGAAGATAAATATTTATGCAGTACTTATTTTAACTGTCATTTTAAGTGTGATGAGAAAAGCAAAACAAAAATTAGGGTGATTCATGACATCCTCAGCCTACTTGGTTGTATTGGGTCAGTTAATATTCTGTAGTCAGCTTTTTGAAGGAACATGGCTTGCTTTAAAAATAGTGTGATGTTTGTTTAGAAAACAATTGCTACTCTAATATCTAATCTCTGCAAGGATTATATTTCTTCTCACAGTCATGCTCTGCATGATTGTTACAGACACTGCTGATTTAACATTTTGGGCTTTTAATCTAGCTGTTCCCAGTGTTTGATCATGATAATGGAGTTAGATTTTGTATGTTAGACACCTATGCTATAATTTATGTTTGATAGTCTTACTATTTAAATTTGTGTGTGAGTGGAAGACCAGTGTTTCACACTCTTTGCCTTAGATGAGGAATACCTAACAGATCAAGTTACTTTGGAAATTGCATCTGTGAACATCAAGACCCTTACATCAGATTCTGGCCTAATCCAACAGGTAAGAAAAATGACACTTGAATGTGATCTAAGTTACTGCTATTAATTAAGTATGTTAACAAATAAGAAGATTTTCAGACTATATCTAGAGAGCACAAAATTATTCAGTAAAACAGACCAGAAATTTGCTTTCTTTTCAAGAGTTCAATGAAGAGAGCTTTTGTGGAGGAGAGCAAAAAAAGAGATTATTTTATCATTAACATGTACTTTTTAGTTTAAATAGGTTTTGACCAATGTATAGATGTTGTGAAGAAGAGCCAGCAAAGAGTTAAAGCTTTGTCATGCATGCTGTTCTTCTGGTGAAAGTATTTCCTGGTGAAAATAAAGCCAGGCAGAGGAGAAGTGAAGAAGTAAAGAATCCTAGATTTTGCCCTTAGGGAGGCATTAAACTGTTTTGCTTCGATTTTTGGGACACTGCTCTTCCCATAGTTGAAACACTGTCCACTTTTTGTGAAATCTTACATTGCCATAGGAAGGGCAATGCTGAGTGATTCCCATGCTCCATGGTTATCATCTTTCAAGTGAATGTTATTTGCTGAATTCAAATTCTCTTTGGGTTGAGCAGAAAACATGGAGAAGAGAAATGAATGAGCATTTTCGAGCAAGATGAAGAATTAAAAGGAGTTCCTAATGCCAGAGTCCCAGCTGAATTCCATCAGAAACAAACATGGGTTTGGTATGCATTTCACAGATGATGGAGGTAACTGTTCCTTCCCATCATCAAGAAGAGAGCATTTATTGGCAGCTTAGAATCACTACAAAGATAATTCAGTGTATTAGGGTGGTAATGGTTCTACAGAGCTAGAAATCTTTCTCCTTAACTTCAGACTGTACATAAGTTTATGGCTTAGATTAGACCTGGAGAGGATGATTGGATCTTCATTGTGGGCAAAAAAATACTCTTTCTTAATGCCTTCATTTCCCTGGCAGTAACACTACATTGTCTTATTGCAATTACATTACAAGAAAATGATCTTGAATAGACCTGAGTGCATCTGACTTGATAAATTGGATAATGACTGATCAGTAAAAATATGAATTTTGAAACAGATGTATGGCACAGGTAAGTATCGCTGCTTTTCTTTGTACTTTTTGCAGTACTACCCACTCGTATTTTTTATGCCTCCTAAGGCATGTATAATAGCATAAGGACACTTAGGCATTGGCTTTCACAATAACATTTGAACTTCAATGAATTGCTAAAGTCTGGGAAATGAAGGTCAGGACAGCAGTTAAGTGAACAGTATATCAGTATCTGCTTTTCCTCTTTTTTTTTTTTTTTTTTCTTTTAATTTTTGTTGTTTAGTTGGTTTGTTTTGTTTTGTTTTTTAAATTTGCTTATTTGTTTCTTTTGAAGTAGATCTCTGGGGAGGCTGAACTATCCTGGGAAGTTCCTCTTTCTCCCCAATGACTTACCCTTCTGGGAATTTGCTCCTTCAGGCTCAGTTATAACATTCTGCCTTCTTAAGGAATTTGTGGGAGTGGAGACAATTATTAAAATCAGGAACTTCAGATCTAAGTTTGTTTTTTTTTACCTTTGGGTGCTCACATGTTGCCACGAAGGCCAAGTTTGTTTTTAAAAAGTGCTGTCCAGACAAAGCTGTTGTGGTAGAAAAGTAAATGACTAGAAGATAATGGTAGGGCTTATTCCATTGCAATTGGCATGTGCAGTGTTAGATCTCTCTTGAGCAGAGAGCAGACATTTTGATGTTCCATGTGTGGTCTTGCAGTTTTCAGGGAGTAAAGAAATACTGAAAACAGTATGCAAATTTTTCCTTTCTTAACAAAGTGTAAATATTGTGGAGAGAGTTCACCTTCTTTATAATTAGATTGTGAATGTATGCAAGTTCACCACAGCAACTGAAACTGCCTGTATTCTATTTTTAGTGGATTTCTTAGTAAAGAAGGTGTAGCAGGTAGGACTAGAGTATCTTGTTACACTATATATGTTACACATATATTAACTTTTGTTTGTATGTACAACCTGCAAAATTAAGAAGCCTGCTGTTATAGTTTCAGAAGAATGACACAATACAAAAAGATCAACAATACTTCATTGCAGCTAAGGGGAAAATCCCCTTCTACTTTCATCTTTAAATCCTCAACAGAAGAAAGCTGTTTTACCTGGCTCTACACCTGCATAGTTAAAGTAAGGGCAGCTGCAGTTTCCCCACAGTTCTACAATCAAGGGTCTGTCCTTCCAGTTTTTAGAGGCTGCTAAGTAGTAGCATTTCAATGTTACAACATGTGATACAGTCTCAGGCTGCTAAGTAATTTCATTACATTTAATTAGCAGACCTAACACCATTGGAGGAATGTTAACTTGAAATAGGAGGAGGGTGAGATGTGAGCCGCAAAAATGTTCATGTCCACCTGTTGTTTATAAAAGCTTCCTATGTATGTAAAGAAGTTTGTAAAAAAAAAATTCTCCACTTTGCCTAGATCAACAAAACAATCCCTTACTGTTGCTTGTTACAGGAAAAATTCTTGGTTTTTACATTGCAAAAAAAAATTTTAAAATCTTAATCAAACTATACGAATTGTTAAATAACTTTTGTGTGTTTAAGAGAGAGTTAGTCAAAAGGTGCAATGCTATAGCATATCATTAACAAAAATGCTGCTGTTGAGTGCATACAACCAACAGGGCAGTTTTATGAGCCAAAGCATGGAAATGCTGCCTGAAAAGACTGCAGATTGTTAGCAGTTCCTCAAAACTATATGTAAATTCCCTGTCTGACTTTACAAGTAGCTTGGGATTCTTTTAAGTAATCTTCTGCCAGTTGAAAATTAGTCAAATACTTACTCTGGTGTTCAATTACATTGTTTTATTTTGACTTTATATTTGTTTTCCGCTTTGTAGCCAGAAGACAAAGACGCACAAAACCATACTGACGAATCACTTTCAGGTAATGTCAGCTTTATTATTCTCCATATTTTATTCCTAGATTTTATTTGAAAGGGCTGTCTTAAAAACTGCTATTTGTCATAACAAATAACTGCCTTAATAATTAGTGCTCATGGAGCTCGTTTCATTACCAGTGTCATTTACAGCTTCCCCTTTGTTCCAAGAGGATGGTGATCAATAATGCAACCATACAAAATATGCAAGTTGGGCCTACCAAATACATTTAATACCTCTGCCTTTGGAAGTGATGTGTAAATAGCTGTCAGGAGAGAGAAGAAGCTGGCAGTAGGTTGTGAGTGCTTATCCCATCATTGTGTGAGTTCTGCTGGGGAGGAGTGTGTGTGTGTGTGTGTGTATGATACACAGTTCTCTCAGTCTAACAGTAAGAAACAGAGAGTTTCCTATTAGTAAAGAAGCTTGTTCTATCAGGTAGCATTAGGATCATGCAATTAGTTGGGTAGTGCTTGTCAGCGACTAACAGAGGGGCACCTTAGAAAAGCAGGATTCTTTATTATGCTTTTGATAGTCTTCCAGATGGAATAGCACAAGAAGCAGGTTGGTTTAGTTTTGTTTACTTATATCTGTGCCCTTTTACAGAGGTGTTTTCTTTACCCCTTCTTCCCTGTTTCTATTGGAGGACAAAACTTACCCTGGCAACCCTGCCGGGGTAAATAAGATGAAATTCAGATAGGGTGCTCTCCTTCCCTCTAAGCTCAGCCAGAAATTTGATTGAATTGTATTAATTTTGCCTTGTTTGTATAAGTAAAGGTTGGTAGGGATGAAGCAAGAAAGTTTTGTCTCAATTCAGCAAGAGTTTAGGGTGCACAAGAAGAACAGAAGAGTTAACATACATATTCCTGTAGAGAACAGCTGCAAGGCCTGTGGAATACCTGGGAGCTAAGATGTCACCAGAACATGTTTCCCTTTAGAAAGGAATCTAAGCATTTGTATGAAGTTACATGTCTGCAGCAGTGTTGTTGCCGCATGCCCTGACTTGTTGAAAACTTCAGAAGTTGTCCTTGGCCTGCTAAAAAAGCAATCTGATGAGCAATGTTACAAAACTAACAACAGCCTGTTCTTTCTTTAAAAATAAAATACAGCATGCATGCAAACATTATATTCTGGAATTTTCACACAATCTGACAATAATTACTGAAAATAAATAATTGACGTTAAAAAAAGGAGCCACAAAATCCCACAAACAAACAGCCTTAACAGATGCTGTTGTCCTTATGAGTAGGTGGCACTAACTACCAGATTTCTCCTTTGCCAGAGATACAATTCAGGCCTCTGACACAGCACTTGTAAATTGTGTGTCACTGTTTTCTGTTGTTTTTAATTGATATTTTGATTAATATCAGCCCCTTTTTCAACGAGCCTAGTGTGAAGTAGGACTAGCTACTTCCCTATTTCAAGCTGTACAATGAGGCTGGAGCTAAGAAACTTTAGGAAGAGCTTCTAGGCTGTGTCCATTATCTACTATTTGGAGATACCAGATTCTCCCTACTTTCAAAAAGGAGCAGGGAGAGTTAAGGTCATATCTACAGCCCAAATGCTCAGACCATGTCCTGCCCCATTGCAGTGTTTAAGGTCTTGGTATTAGTGTTTGACTAGAGGTATGACTCAAACTGGTTTCTGCATGGTTTAAGGGTTATTAACATATATAATCTGATAGCACCACATTGTTGCCAGTTTTGGGGGAGATACTGACAATGGTGTGTAGGAGATTTCTAAATGGCAATTTTCAGTATTTGATGCAGATTTTAGAACATATCACCACCTTTTTCCAGCAACTTGGTGGTTTTGTTTTTCTCAACAAACAACATGGAAGAGTATGCACTTTATTCCTTTTCATGATGTACCTTTAAAATAGGCTTTGTTGGTAAAACAGACACAGTTTTTATTGCAAGAGTCTTTACAAAGCAAAGGAACACATCTACTTTTTCATTGTGTTAAAGTACTAGATGTTAATTGTGTTTGGATCTGTCAGCAGAGATCCTCCTGGTGCACATAATTCATGTAGTTATGAAGGCAGCAGCTCAGAAATGCAAAACCTTTTCCTTCATTCTATAACATAGGTACACAAGATGCGTGGAATGCACACATAATCCTGGTGTGCCTCCCAGGTGATGTAAGTGGGCGTTACGGCAGATTCAAGGAAGCGACATCGTTCCAAGAACAAATAAAGGGACTCTCCTAGCTCACGCACTGCATTGAATCCTATGTCTTTTCTGTAAAAATAAAAATATGTTACTTTAAAAATTACTGTCTTTTTGATTAAAACCACTTTTGATTAGAGTTTAGTGAAGAGAGAAGTTTTATAAAGTTAATTTCATGAGTTCTTCATGAGGAGAGGAGTTGCATATCACTATTCTGACTTTTTCAGAAGCAATTCAAACCAACATAATACTCCTCAACTCTTTATGCTTTTAAGTTTTTGTTCCTGGTGATACCACAGCAGTAGGTCCTAATTTCTTCCCATGTAATGGTTTTCACTGCAGATCTCAAGAAAAGCTGCAAGGAAAATGTCACCTGCTCCTTGTGCTTATTCCGTGCACCGACCATCAGTGACATGCTCAATGATGAGGACTTGTTGTACACAGTGAGGCTAAAGCTGGATCCCTGCCATCCAACAGTGAAAAACTGGAGAAATTTAGCAAGCAAGTGGGGGATGACTTACGATGAATTGTGTTTCCTTGAACAAAAGCCCCAAAGCCCCACCTTGGAATTCTTGCTACGGAATAGTGACCGGACTGTGGAGCAGCTGATTGATCTCTGTAAATTTTATAAGAGAATTGATGTTGTGAAAGTGCTGCTGAAATGGGTGGAGGAAGAATGGCCCAAAAGAGGGAACAGAACTTACCAGAATGACTTCTAGGTCAAAGCAGGTTGTTAGTCTGTACATGTTAAATGCTAGCTACCAGTAATACACTGGAAGTTTCCCTTGCAAGAGAGAGAAAGCCTGTACTGAGGATTTGTATACTGTGTAGGCCTTATCTACTGTATACACAAATGTAAGCTTTATGCCCTCAGGGTTGCAAAGATAACTTTCCGAAAGTGGATGGAATCATCCAGGTTGTGTTCTCGAGTCTGCAAATACCTTCAGTTTCTTTGCTGCTGTTCACAGCCTTCCTAAACAGAAAAGGAATGAAAGGGCCAGACCACTTGTTTTACTGCAGCAGTTGTGAACCATATCAGTTGTAATTGGGAAAGCCACAGTTAGAAGGCAAGTCTCTTGGCTTTACTAGTAGCCTTTCCACAGTTTCGTTGTGTTCTACCTAGTACAAGATGAGGTGGAATTTTTTTCTTCCTTTTTAGTTGTTTTTTAAGCTTTGTGACACTGTTTTTGGCACAGGAACATCTCAGTGTTCCCAGCAGCAGTTTGGATATGAATGTTACAATTAACTGAATATTCTACATCACATTTGAACAAATTATGTCTCTTTTATGAACAAGAGTAGACATTACACAATAACAGATGGTAAACAAAAGAATTATTCACATGCTACTACATCATAGGCCATATATTTGCTCTAAGAAGAAATCATGCAATTCAGAGAGACTTTTCAACCCATAACCTGTGGAGGCCAAAAGAACCAATTAAAAGGCTCTATGCTTAAAATTACTTCCCAAAGGTTTAAAGACAGTGTACATTCTGAGTGCATGTATCAAATCCCTCTCACTTTGCAGTACAAGATGATGGCAGCACAGGGTATTGTTAGTATTGACTATAACTTCACTTTTCACAGGCTGTAGTTTTCTTTACAGTCCTGTGGGTTGGCCTACTTTCTGTCCCACACCACAGCAGTTGCAGTCTTGTGTGAAACTAGCACTATATATTGATTAAAGCCACTCTAATGGAAAATTAACAGCTGAATTCACATACAGCCCAGGTGGGTGGTTATTAAAGCACTTACAGTGGTTTAGACTGTTTTTTGGGTTTTTTTAAAGGATTTTGATACTCTGAATTACACTGTTTACATTTTAAATGTTTCAGAATTGGCCTTTTTCCTACCATTCTTCTGACATCTCAGACAATGTAGTATGTACATAGGTGTATATACCAAAGCACTGGTCAAGATGTGAGGCAAAACTTAGAATGGGGTGCAGGTTGATACATTGTTTACTTTTCTCAAGTAGAAATAATAAGAATTAGTAGTGAACCTGAGGGAAGTCTAATGCTGTATGCTGAATTTCTTACTGTAAGAGATTGAAAAGGGATCTCTATTAATACTTTACTATAGATACTGAGTGGTATGGTTACAGAGGAGCTAGAAGTAAAGACTAACATTTTCAATGTCAGGCACTTGTTCTGAGCTGACACAAAATTGACTTTATTTTACTGACTTCAAGAAGCTGAAAGTCTTGTTTCAGGGTAAAGAAATTGACCTAAATTTGAGGTTTAAATTTTTAGTTTTTTAGAAAAGACTGGAATTTGTAATGATTTTTTTTTAACCATTCCTCAAAAGAAGCTGCTACTCTTTAGAACTCTAGTTTTCTAGCTGTATTTTAGGGAGGAAGTTTTACTGCTCTGTCTTGTTGGGGCTGCAGTTCAAGTGTTTAATGGTTCTCTTCTGAGCATGGGTGTTTCCCAACAGATGTCTGTCAGCTTGTAACTTTTGCCAATAATCTTCTGTCTTGTGTTAGAGGCTCTAGATTCAGCTTTGAGGACTATTGCTGTGCCTGGGCTGACTGCTGCTTTCAGTTCCTACAGAGGCATCCACTGCCAATGTGCAAATAGCTCATAATCCAGCTTGTCCAACATAATTCCCATACCTTGGGCTGACTGCATGCATGATTTAAGATCATATGTCTGTGTGTTAAGTTGTTCTTCGGAGTGATGAGTACTGGCATGTATGCACACAGCTTTTCCCTCCCATAACATACCACAGGTATATCTGTGTGGTATTACAATATGCTGTGCTTTGGTAGATCCAGACCAGCTAGGAGCTGGAATACTCACCTAAGAATCAGAATGGGAATATGAAATGATGCTGTAGCATTCCTGAATCAATGTGTCCAACTGAAATCTACTCCTTTTCCTGGTTTCTGGGATTAAACTTGTAAAATTTTGAAGAAACTCTGTTGTCTTGTGAAGATCAGTTTGATCCCTTGAAGCTCTTCAAAAATTAATGTCAGATGCAAGAGTTCATGTCGGATGGAAATAAAGCTGCTTCTGAGAGTTCATACATGGATTCTGTATAAACTCAGCTCTGAAGGTCGAAAATGTTAGCCTTAAACTTCACCACACACTGGATTACTCATTACTATACTTGAAATACTTTTTTTTTCCTCCTTGTATGGCATAAATGGAGATGTACACACTCTTTTTAGTTTTATATCTGTTTACAAGATATTGGTTCTGAGTGTTCAATTTATTCTTATGTCTTCTGTTATAATGTGTGCTATTTTTAGAAGAAATACAGTTGTCAATGTTTGACTTTATTGTGTTGTTTTTATTACAGATAGGAAAATAGCTGTTTTCCTTCCCACCAGTCACCTTTCAATTACTGAACTATCAATTAGTTATTCTGTGTCAAAAATACTTTATATATGAAATTCATGGTGCCTTAAAGCACTTATGTTTGCAACACATACTGCTACTGAAAAAAGGAAGATGCATTTTTTTAGTCTTTTCCATATGAAAAATGAGTTAATTTTGATAAGATGATGAACAAGAATATTTATCTAGAAACCTATAGCTGAGTTACTGACTAAGACAGTGAGACATAAAGGTATGAAACCTGTATGGGGTGAACTTTTCCTGAATTAATAACCAATCTGATACTGGACAATAAAAAGGCTGTACTAGGCTATCAGTTTTGTTCCATTATATCATTCTCCTATTGTAGGAGACGGGTTCGGGAATCAAGAGACAACCCGATATGAGTTAGCTGCTTGTTCCAAATTTATTACAATCTTAGCTACATTTTTATAGTATTTTGAAAAGGTAACATGCAATCTATATTCTATTATGATTGGATAATTGCTATTTTTCACGTATTAACTTCTACATTTCTATTGGTCCAGCTCATAACACCCCAGCCCTATAAGATACTTTTTAGTGAAAATTATTAAGATACATTAAGCAGTTATATAGGATACATTCTTCAGAATTAATATCCTGACAAACTTCATAAGATACATTCACAAGATACATTGAGCAGATTTCTCATCCTAAATTCTCATCTATTCTTCATTGTCTTATTAACAACTAGTCTTCTTTATTTCTTTGATACAATATTTTGCCAAGGACTCATGCTAGCTCAAAGTCAGGGTTGTGCAGGCCTTCTAAGGAGCTATGGCCTTAAGAAGCAAGCCATTCTTCAACACCCTATTCCTGTATAAGACCTATTTTCCCTTCAGGGATTTCTAGTTTTTGCCTGCTGTCTCTGTGCCTGCAGGATGATCAATGCCTTTGCCACCCATTTTAGCTTCTGTGAAGCTGGCCAAACCACCCTATTCCTGCAAGCTTATCTAAGATATAATGAGCTTAATAACTGTTCTTCAATGACAAAGTTAAGGTGCTGTGCTCCAGGAGAGCCTAGTTTTCCTGTGTGGACAACTATGGGGTATCTTCAGCAAAATGGTGACAGGGTCCAGTTGCATGCACTTCCCTTGGATCTGTGGACAGGAATGCAGGATGGGTTGGGGACTGTCCTGTGGAGCCTACCAAAAAGGATAGGGGTAGTCAGCATGGTCTCAGGCGCTTGCTTCAAAATAACTTGTACAGAAACTGTAAACCAAAGGTTCTTCCTGAACCAGTACTGAAAAATGGAGAGCTGCAGCTTGGCCTGGGCAGTGCCTTGAGCAAGAGATTGTGTATTTTTCACTGTCTCAAAAGGCCTCCCACAGTTCCAAGTTAAGCTGTTAGCAAGAGGAAAGAAATGTAAATTCTGCCTTATGGTTCTTTAAGCTAGGGTAGCACTCTTGACTTGGGGCCAGACATAGCTGGAAATTATTTGTCAGACAGCAGAATTGTTTAAACGAGGTCAAAGAAAGTGCATGGCATTTATAATAAATTAAAGAGCAGCCTACTTGTGTAATTTTTGCAGCAGATCATGTTCTTCTGTCCATGAAAGCAAGTAATTTGTTATTCATAACTACTATCACTATATCTTGTAAATTTTAAATTTTGGCTTCGTTTTGGACAGTAGGTTAGAGCACCATTAAATGAGGATGTGAGCTTCTTGCCTGTTTTGACAGAAAAGTGCTTTTGTTAGTCCCCAAGTTCAGCTAGTCTTGATTCCATGTCTGTGGTCAGTTGGCATTAAGTGGATAGGCTGAATATCAGCAGCACTAAAAGAACTTACTTTGAGAGATGCAGTCTGTAGTATTTTCCTGTATTTTGCCTAAGGACTGGGAGTGACTCCATCTTGGAAGAAACTGATGGCAAAGAGAAGTTGACAGCCTTGGGAAAGGGTTGCTGAACCCTCTGTTAGGGGCAGAGGGGCAATTAACAGCTGAGCATTCTTACTAGCTTGATCTCTTTATTTTGCCTTTGTAAAACAATGATTCTTGATTTTAAAGACAGGTCATTTGAGGAAATGTATATTTGTTATTGTGGTAATGAGAGTTGCCTGAGATTCTCAAATGAGAAAGAGCAGCATGAGTAACTTGGATAATAAATGTGTTCTGTGTCCAGCAAGGGATGGATATACAACTTTACACATTCATGTGAAATTGCTGCTTCTTTTTTGATTATGAGTTTGCTTCAAAGATTACCCAATATTTAATTTTCAAATGTTTTTTGTCTCAAAAAATAACTGAAATTTCATGTTGCTGATGACATAAAAAAAAAAATAAAATTATATAGCTAAAACATTCCTTAACACAAAGAGCCAGGATAAGAAAGGGGCACCGAAATACTTACAATAGTAAAAATATCTCGAGTTTAAGCTGAGAATTTATTTTTGTCTTTGCCCCCAGTCTATGTGAGCTTCCCGTACTTCATTCATAATCCCATGAACAGTTTTTTTGGGGGTATTTTTTTTTTTGTCCTTATTTACTTTTGCCTCTGCTTTCTCTGAAGCTGAGAAGTTCACCATCTCAAAGGTCTGTTAAAAGCCTGATCCTCTCTAACCGTCAGGAAACACCTACCATCTCGTGGTGAGACGTGACACTACAGCCCTCGCACTTCTCCCTTGAAAATGCAGGAGAGCTGAGGGCTGCCACGAGGATGATGAAGGTGTGGAGTTCTAGGGATCTTGGGTTTGGTCACAGTCCCCAGTTTGGAGAATATCACACAGTCTTTCCCTTTGCACAGATACATGATATTTCCTGGTTTTTTATCTCCCTAGGTAGGCAGGGACTGAATCACTATGTGCAGATCATGGCACAACCGCCTGGGGGTGGAGGTGTGGTGGGGTGTACAGAAAGGGCAAGCACAGGCACAGGTTTGCTCCTGTACCTCTTGCAACGCAAATGAAGGAGTGATCCAGACTACTTCAAGAGTGTCATGTCACTGATTTAAGAAAGAAGGGGTGAGTATGTTTTAAGGGTTATAAGGCCTATATTTGGTTTTCAAAAGGTCTTGTGACTTCTTGGTATCTTCTTTGTCCTTTGGCCCTTATGTCTATTCTGTATCTTGTTTGCTCTTATGCTTCTCTTCAACATTTTGCTTTAAAAAGCAAAAAAATTGCAACAAAAAATAGAATACTTGTTTGTTCCTGAAGCAGCTGTAGCATTTTAAGCTTTTGAATCTGTAAGCCCATTTAAAAAAACATGACTTTTTGTTTTGTTTCCTGTGATTTGCAAGCTTTAAACTGAAAACTGGAAGATCAGAATGATCACTGAAGCTAAATGGTGATATATCAAGGAAAAGTTTTGGAAGGTCACTGATTAACTCGTAGCCAAATAAAAGCTGAGCCAGCTGGGCTGTCAACTGAAATTTTAATGTTGGTGTACCAAGAAGTGGTGACTCATGTCCTCTTTGAGTCTAAAGCCTTTCGAAGAAGCTAGGGGAATAATTTCATCAGAAAATGCTGTAATGCACAGACAGCTCCACTAAAACTACAGAAGATACAACAATGTCAGTCTTTTGAGATCATATGAAGTCCTTAAGCACAAAATGTCTGCTGAACATTTGCGCTAGAGGCTTTACCCCTGTGGCCTGTAGTACTGTATAAACTAGGGAAAAATTGCAGTTATTCTGGTAAAACAATATGAAAAAATTAATTGAGAGTAACTTTCATGGGCAAGTTTCTTAATGGAGACTAGTGTTTATTTGTGTCAAGTCCAGGGAATTACATTGCTGATGGAAATGTTATAATTGGAACTGAGCATAAAATACCAGGAAAGTAAGTGTGACTATGTATGTTTTCACCTTGACTTTGGACCATGGCTTGCTACCCTGAGAGGGCACAGGTTACAGGCTAGGCATCAAGGACAGGAGAGGCAGGTAAAATTTCTTAGGGGTAAGAGGGTCCTTGGTGAAATGCTACCTTTATGGCCAAGAATAGCTTCTATATTTGCTTCAGCTGAAATTGGCTGCATCTGGTCTAGACAAAGCATTTCTATTTTTCCCGCAAGCAGAATTCTGCTGGAACATGAGAAGTCTCTGATGACAGGATTACACATAGTCCCAGAAATGGCTGAGTGCACATCAAATTTAAAAGAAAAAACCTGAATTAGGACTTGGACAGTGGAAATTAGGGAAGACTTTGTTATTTGCTGACAGGACTGCCATTAGTAAATGGTGCTAAAAATAGCAGTCACAAGAAATTGGCAGGAGAGTGAAAGTTTTTGAACAAAGTGACAGTACTGTAATACAAAGCTGTTGAAGCTGTAACCCAACTGACTCATTGTCAATGCTGCATCAGATTTGGGAGCTGAAATAGGGACTTCCCTGCAAATTTCATAAACTGCCTATGACACAGCCTAAAATTTTGTTAATCAAACAGCTGTTCTGCTTCAGTAAGGAACTGGTCCATAATTCAAATCATATTTCCTTTGGATTGTTTCTTCCCAAAAGTAGAAGAGCCCTGAGCAAGAATTAGTAAAGTAGTAAAACTTTCTTTTCTGTGGTTCTAGGATCATTTCCACTTATTGCTCTTGCTTTCAGCCTCATATTTTTTTATTCCAATCTTTCAGCATGTTTTCTGTCTTTGCTGTTTGACCTGAACTTTCAAACCTGCTTTGAGGTTGCAGTCTAATACTGACAACTGAGTATATTTCATGTACTTATGTCAGTCTGGTTTTATTAAAGTGTTCTACTCTTTTAACTGGAGTGTCTGGAAAAATAGCTTCAAAGAATAGCTTCAAAGAATAGCTAAGTTCAGGCTCAGGACCTTTCATTTGTTCTCTTTTTAAGTAGTGCTGTGGAATTATGTAGAACAGTTGAATAGCTAGCACCTTTTTGCTAGCACCTGACCACACAATAGTTGTCAGTCCTCCTCTCTCACAGCCATGCATGATTCTAAGACACCTTTACCTAGGCAACCT